AGTTTCAATATGTCAACAAACTACAAGTTGGAGTTGCAACTGAGACAGTTGAAACTGAGACAGGCAAGAGAGTGAAAACTACCCTGATGATAGAGCAGTTCTCCTAACTSTCTGTCCAGCCTTATTCTCAAGCAAACAAAAATTTTGTCATCCCTTGTCTGTGGAGAAGAACCGACTTAAACATGTCCATCCTCTTATTACACAATGAGTGTTATGCCTCTAGATGCCACTTATGCTAAATGAAGTTGGGACGTTCCATTATAGCCCAACATTTTTTGTCTTTGCCTGAGCAGTGTTTCAAGCAGGCAGTTTTTGTGCCGCCCTTCGTTTTTGAGCCAGATGGCTACCTGTCTTCATGAGGCCAGAGGTGCAATAGATGGAGATAGATCTGATGAGAAACCAGCCCTTAGCTTTAAGCTGACCCAGTTTACTTGTGTTGGCACAAAAGCAACATGATGTAAGTGGGGTTGTCCAGTATTGGGAGGATAGGAATGCTGGTTTTGGTGTCACTGACAAGCTATGTTGTTTAAAATTACAGCACGYGAGCTTCATTTCCACTTAGCTTGGAGATGCATTTTATTTGTAGCAAAACTTGAGGTTGAACTATTGAAGTGATGCAATTAAAGAGTTTGTTATGATTTCTACAGCAAAGRCCTATTCCTGCAGATAAATCCCTAGTTGCAGGTTAAAAGGATAAGCTTGGAGTAAAACTGCATGCTTATAGTCCGAATCYGTAGATACTTCTTTTTATTTCTATTTAATCTTATAGAAAATGTTATTTTTCTTTGTGGAAGCTTTAAAAATCAAATACTGTCATTTTCCACTTTTAGTAGAAGCTTTAAAGCTAACTAAAATCCTCTGGACAGTAGCCTATAATAATATACTTTAAAAATTCAAACTGTTCTCGTTTTGGTATTGAACGAGAAGGAAACTGTTACCAAACTTTCACCTCTTGTTACTACARTAGTTTATACTGAATATATTCTGTGTATTGCTCAGCTCACACTGGGCTTGCAGAGGTCTGCTGACATGGAGCCCAGGAAACCTGACACATGAACACACATTGTTTTAGTTCTGCCTCAAACACAGGGCAGAAAATAGGCTGAGATTAAGATGTTAACTGGGGCACAGCTATACTATTCYCAATACAAAGGTGCCACCATATGACATCTTGGTGCCTTGCTCACTGCTTACATGCTTTTCTGAATTTGTTCAACGTGAAGCAATTCAGTGGGTCAGTTCTCCGTTTGCAGCAAGGTTGTCAAAACAAGGTTGTATGGGCTATCATAGCTGACTAAAACACCTTGTTTCCGAGGCTCTGCTGGAACGATCGAGGCCAAGGTTTTGGTTTTGAAGTGGGTGACCTACAAACAGTACTTTGACAAGCAGCTGGTCTGAGTGCACTGAGCAGAGGCGGTGGTGGCAGCAAGCAGCAAGTTACAGCCCTTGCAAGGACTTGCTGAGGTGCAAGTTGCCTTTCCTTCTCCTTCTGGCAGCTGTGCTGGGAAGTGGGGGCCTGGGCAGTCCTGGGGAGTGCTCCTCCTCTGAATTAGCCTGAGGGAAGGGAATGACAGTGATCAGACAGCCAAGGATTTGTCCAAGATCACCTGGGTGTCTGCAGAGTTTAAACTGGGATTTCCCAAAGCATGATTAATTTCCTCACCACTGAGGAATTTTCTGCCTGTAATGCCTGCCTGAATGGTGCTGTGCTTCCCCCAGGTGAAATGCCCGACCTGATCATGGTTGCCTTCTCCTTCTTCCATGCCACTGTTTGTGCCTTGCAATGTCCTTTGTGTCACATCCTTACAGCCGACAGCACAGTGCTTGWCAAGTGGATGAAAGTGTCTAAAAGAAAATAGTGCAGTTCATTCATTTCACCTCTGAACTTCATTTATGCTAGAATGTAAAAACCTTGTTTTGTTGTAACATGAACATTTATTGTTGAGTTGTACAAATGACCACTGAAAACATGCCATAGGCCTTTGTTTTTCCCYGCTCTGGAGCCACCTCATAGGATTTGCACATATCCAGTACCTCAGATGGCGTCTTCAGTGTGCCCAGTGTTTAAAATGCTACTTGCTCTTCCATTAATTATAAGAAAGTGTGGAAGATTAGATCAGATGTAGGGATATTTATAGTAAGTAGGCCCAAATGAGGCAATCACTACCCTTCATTATATGAGGTTCTGTCACCAGGCATTTTTTAAGGGCTCAAAAAATTCTTTCAGAAAAAAATAATTTAGCTTAAAATCCATTGATGTTAGAATCCTTACAAGGATAAAGTGTCATTTTGAACATGAAGAAGAATGGTACTGATCATCATTGCCTTGGACAACATTGTCAGCCGATTTGTGCGATGTTCTTTACATGGGAAATTAAATATTGCTCTACCCATTTTACGTGTAGAGAAACTGAAGCACAAATTTGTGAAAACATATTTAACTGAAGTGAAAAGTAGATATTAAATGTATGGGTATATCTTTATAAACCAGATAAAATAGGTTGCTTTCTACCATGGTTTAGCTAACTACAAAGTATTAAGATCCCTGATGATCTCTAGTTTAAAGTTTATGAATATAGTTAAACTGTGAGCTGTGAAAGTCATTGTTTGAGGAGTTTTTTTGTATACAGTTTATTTTCCATTTTAATATCTTTTACCTTGTTATTCCTAGGTATAGGCTGTTTCAGTTCACTTATTCTTTCTTCCTCTGTCAAGCGTGGACAGAGGCACAGGAATGCTTAAGCTCAGTTCTATACGAATCTGAATGTTGAAACGTTGCATATATGTCAAAATGTTGAAAATAATTATTTTCAAACTTTATTTTCTTCCTTCAAATACTGCTTTGTATGCACTCCTCTGATTAAGAATAAGTTAGTTGCATTTATCCAGAGTGATGAAGCATATCTGACATTTATTTGTTTAATCATGAGTACCCTTAATTTTATTAAGATCTCTAGCATGTTTAAATATTGGATTTAAGCCCTTTCTTATGGCAAATACTAGTGTTTGAATATGCTAACAGAAATGTTTTTCTACTCCTTGATGATAGAGTATTAATGTAATTGGTAAATCAGATGATATCTAGCACTTCATTGTAATTCTCTACTTTACATGTAAATTATATTTTGAAGCACCGTATCTTCTCTCAGTGGTGATTAATCCTTGAAATAAAGGCGTAGGGAGATTGCTAGCTTGTTTTAAATGGTGCATTCCCCCAGTGGGAAAGATTAACTATGTACAACTTTGTTGAGGTTAGCAGTTTGCAATGAATTGTTGAGCTGTCTGTAGAGAGCAATTTCTTTTTTTGAAAGGAGTGCTCACCAGGTTACATTACTCTGTGTTTCTCTAAGGGAAATAAGTTCTTGTTATCTTTTGTCTTAGACTGAGATGTAAGTTCCTTGTTAGCATTTGAACTTGCCTAAATCTGGGAAGCAAAACTCATCAATAATATGTTTGGTAGGCAGAAAAGGCACGGGAAAGAAGAGAAGGCTGTTGCAAGAGAGACCTTGATTCTGCATATCTTTGTTTTGCATTTYTAAATTTCAGATGTCATGCAGTGTCCATCTCCGCCTGTTTGTGGAGCACCCTTCGCTGGTCTTTAGCATCTCTGCCTCCTTTTCCTGTTTTTTTCTCTTTTGGACTGTACATTGGAGATACTCATGCTTTGGTTAATTTTGCTGGAAGTACTATTTGTTCACGCTGAGCTTCTGAAGCGAAGAGTGAATGCAAAAATTTGGGTTTCCACGCTGGAATCCATGGGGAATTCTTGCTAACTATATAATTTTTGTATATGGGGGCAGTAGATGACACTTGCAAAATATGTTAGGCTTAGTGGGGAGTAGTGTCATTTGGAAGTGCTGCTGAATCTCACTTAGTTAAGGGAATGACATAAACTACTCCTTTATTTAGGATGCTCTGATTTGGCCCTTGCTCTGCCCTCGGGGTACTAGCAGAGAGTGTTTGAGCAGAGACATGTTAGAGCATATGCACCTCCTCTAAATTATCYGGAGGAAGGGAAAATGAGCAAGCACAATAACATTTGAATTTGAATTCATTTAATTTGAATTAATTTAGCATGATAGTTTTCCTTCATTCCCACATATGAAACAGACACCTGAAAACAAAAAATGATTGCAATTAGTGAGATTGATATTGCTTCTCGTGCCAATTAACACATCCATGTGCAGCAGGGTTTTTTTTTGCTAAAGCTGTATAGAAAATAGGTTTTTAAACAGGGAGTGACAATGAACAGAAACACTGCCTATTTTTGTGCTGTACATTACTGAAAAGGAGGCCTAAGGCTGGTGGCATTTGGTAGATGCCCCTTTCAAAGGCTCGAGTTCAAAGACCATTAAAAAGTGGGTATCTCGATGCTTCCTAGGTGAATGTTACAAATACAAGTGGAACTGCTAACCTGTTTTTCTTTGCCTGTTTTTTGGCTATGTATTTCACAGCTTTGAAAGTACTTGGATACCACAGTGGATGACATGAAATTAGTAAATCAAACGAACAATTAGAATAGAAAAATCACATTTTTTCTTTTCTTTCTTGAAATTGCAGCCACAGGAACAAGTCCTCAGGCTGGCCACATCCTTCAGGGACCTGGAGCTTGAACCAGGGAACACCTTATGGCTGGGAGATGACGGCAAACAGAGATGGAAGAGACTAYTTCCTCAAGTAAGTGGTGGCGTGAGCTTTTGCAGACACTAGGTTCAGGTTTTATAATAGCGCTGCAGCACTGCTGTTAACAAGACTCTCCTTGGAATCCTAGTAACAGCTTCAGTCTTGCAAAGTTGATGTTGTTCTGTTTTGGTTTGTTGCACAGAGACACCTTTGTCCATACTTGACTGTGCCTTGTTCTTTATAAAACTTTGTTTTTGTCCTTGGTTATTCTTCATTTAGCCAAGAAAACACTGATAATATGAGGACCTGTTATTCATTGAGGAATTACAGCAGATGTCATAAAAAAAAAAAAAAAAAAACCTCTTGCTTAAAGAATAAGGCAAAAGGTCGATTCTGACTGGGACTAATAACTCTCATCCGTCTCTGCCATGTGAGCTCTTTTAGTTTGCCTAATAAGTTCATTATACTGGTAAAGGGAAAGTACACGTCTTGATCCTGTACAGTTTTTGTCTTTTGAATTCTTCTCATGATCCTTTCCAGATTTCTCATGTTTCTTTAGCTCTGAAATTAAAAGTTTTCAAAATAAATGTCAATATGAATGATTTGATTATAAACCAAACAGGATTTCCTTTTCCCAGTGAAAAACATGCAGAATTATTATTTTGAGTTACTGAAGTGGCTTGGATAAAATACAGTTTCATATCCTTGCAAATATACTCTATTGCAGATTTGAAACCTATTTTCTGAGGAGTGGTGGCAGTGAGTTATCAGAATAGCATTTTAAAGCGTTAGTTGCTTTAGCTTACATTTTATTTTAAGACAAGCATTATGATTTTACTCATGTGGAAAGCTGGAGGTTTTCATTATTTCCTTTTTTATGTTCATCAGTCTGAATGGAAACTTAAGATGTCCTGGATGAGAATCACAATCCTTTCTTATAAGAGCAACAGGAGAAGGATCAACATTATTTAAAATTGACCATTTAAAGCCCCAAATTCATCCCAGATCCTTCTACTGCAAAACTTGAATTGTGCTGTGTAAGAAGGAGGATCCCTTTTCCTCTCCTGTCTGACCCTCCTTGCTTGCCAGGGGCATTTGCCCTACCCTGCTAGGTGGGCTGTCCTTTTGGAGCCGCAGAAGGCAGGCTTGGAGCAGTGTGGCGACCTGCAAGCAACCATGGAAAGGATTTCAGGATTTAGAGAGATATTTAGACCTGTCCACCTTGCTTGCCCAGGTTAATGAAGGCTCAAAGGTGTTGCATTCTCCTGTGAATGAGTGTYTGCCATCCTGTGTACGTCTGCACAACATGGGGCACGGGGCTGGGCAGCGTGAAGCTGCAAGCCAGATACTACGCGGGTATATTAGCGTGGGTTTTCTGGCTGAAGCTGTGAGCCTTGCCAAAGAGAACGTGTGAGGCTCACAGGTAGGGTATCACTGCGACTGGGCTGCTCCCGTGACTAGGCTCGGCGACACTGCCCGCACCGCGCACACCCGCAGGGCTGGGAGCCACGGGAGGAGGACAGAATCACAGAATATTCAAGGTTGGAAGGGACCTCCAGAGATCATCTAGTYCAACCCTCCTGCTCAAGCAAGCACACCTAGAGCATGTGGCACAGGATGGYGTCCAGGCGGGTTTGGAAGATCTCCAGAGAAGGAGACTCCACAACCTCCCTGGGCAGCCTGKKCCASKGCTCTGTCACCCTMACAGKAAAGAAGTTCCTCCTCACCTGGAGACGGACGGCAGAGCTGCCACTGCTCCCGGGCTGCGMCGGTTCCTGTCCATGCGGGCAGCAGGCGCCGGGGCTGGGCCTTCCCTCCGCGGCTCCTCCGTGGAAGCGAGGGGCTCTCGGGTAGGGCTGGTGTGTGTGTGAGCGGCAGCACTGGCCTCTGAGGACGGGCACCGCATTCGCCTTCTCCTTTCCCACGTAATGGGATGCTGTGTTTCCTGTGCAGCTATGAACAGCTGTGGCTTGCAGCATGCAGTGCATTAGGAGTCATTAATTTTGTAGTTTGAGAACATTTGCTAACTTGGAATAGCTAACGATCATTTTGTTTATTTTCTGGATGGCCTTTTAGTACACTAAAGTGCCGTATCTTCTCACAGCTCTCCTAGAGGTATGAAATTGAGGATATTGAATTTGAGGAATATAATTTCATGCGAAACAGTGCCAAATTGTGCCTTAAGAAACGTTACAGGGCAGGGGGGAAGATGTCTGTTTTGTGGAGGGTTTTCATGTGTGGTTGTTTTTGTTTTCTTTTAACTTYCATGCTCTTATAAAGTGTTTGTTTCCAATTCTCTTTGGGGCCATAGTTTTTAAGTCTCTTTGGGGCTTTCTTTCCATTTGCTTGCATATAGATTCCCGCAGCTGTTAAAAAAAAAAAAACAAAAATCCATCTTTTCTGGGTGCTTCATCAATATTTTGTGAAGTTACATTACAGTGAAGAGATGCATTGCTTTTCTATTTGCTGAGATTAAATATATAAATTGTCTAAAATTAAATATATAAATGCAGCTGGAACTAATCAAGACTCAGCGCCTGAGGGATCTACCTGATCCCTCCCATCAACTTTAGAAAACACATTTCAGAGTACAAAAGAAGAGCAAATGTTGGTGCTCTGGGCCACTCTCCTAAGCCAGGTCATATCCAAACAGTTGCTGTGTTTCTCTCTCAGCCAAAGCTTCCACTGGCTGTACTGGACCAGTCATTCTAGAGTGGATCTCTGTAGTGCCTTCTCTCTCTGATGATCCTTTAGAATTTTATAGAGCCAAACTAGCATCTCAGGATCAAGGGACAGCAGGAAAAGGTTGTAGAGTTTAATGTGTTGATGAGATCTTAGCTCTGGGTTGCAAAATGAATGTAATGAAAAAAAAAAAAAAAGATTAAGCAAAGTGAGGTTTGCTGTAGTCCATTTTCAAGGTGTTGAAGGTTTGACTGACAGGTAAGAATTAATATATTCTAACATTCTTCATATATATTTCTTTCTCTTCCTATTAGGAGCCATCTTTTACTCTGTATTTACATATTACTTTTAGTATAATAGCTAAATAGATTTGGCCTACTAAATGCAATCTTTAATTATTTGCAAAGCTTAGTAGTATCAAAATGATGGAGTGGGAGCTCCCTACTGCTTGCAGGGTAGCTGAGGAGCAGAGGATTGTTTGAACTCTAAGGCATGGGTACAGAATTGCAGTCGGAGCACTCATGCTGCACAAGGACGTTAATCAAAGGGCATTCAGGTTGGAGATGGATCATGGGACAGATATCTTCTACATACTTAATATCTAGGAAAAGAGCCTCACTGGGTTATGGGAGCCATGGACAGATAAATAATTTCTATACTAGCTTTGCAGTGAGGAGCTCCTCTGCAAAGGGAGGTATCATTTCCTTTTTCTTTGTGTCAGAAGAACCTAAAGATATAAAATCTCAGCTTTGTACTCTAGCTTGTTTGTTTGTAGCTCAGTCTCGCTTTTAGGACTGACCAGAAGCTCCAGCATAGCTAATACAGAACCAAGAATTTATGGGACTTGCAGGGTCTCTTGATTCTACCTGAGAACCAAGACAACATTTGGCATCAAATTTATACCCCCTTAAATTATTTCATCCTGGTATGTTGCAGCTGTCTGCTGGAAGTTGATGTAAAGTTTTCTAGTAAGGCTGTGTATATCCAAATTAAATGCTATCATAGTAAGTGGAAAAATAATAGGCTGCTCTAAGAAGTGGAAAGAATGAGGACTCTGAGGAAGCTGGCGTACATAATTCTTTGATATTTTATGTCTAACTTTTTACCTGCTGGTGCCTCTGAGCAGTTTTGAATGCAAATTGAACAGTGCTGCATATATACACATGGCATGAGCATACTTACAGTACATCTTTTTGTATCAAATGTTTTAAAGGGCACAACATTGCCTATAAAAACGTACATCAGTTATGTCTCCAGAACAGTAATGCACATTAAACAAAATGATAATCCACCAGGATGCATAAAAGGATGCATAGAGAAAGGAATGTAACCATGTAAACACATGGAAGTGTGCACTGCTGTACTGACTCACCAGCTCTCATCTACATCTCTCAGTTGCAGTGATGTCCCTGGTTGCTTATAACATGTGTGCATTTAGTTTGGAGATGTAGATCTTCATTTTAGCAGAAAGACTAGGAAATGAATATGTATAGTGATTCCTACTTGGAGGCATGCAGTAGTTGTCCTTGTAGTGCCTATTACTTCTCCAAGGGAAAGTCCTCCTTAGCTTTCAAAATGGCTTCACTTGCTAGGACTGATCTTACTTGTAAATGAAACCAATACTTAATTTTCTTCCTTTCATTCTTCACCTCTGGATTTTAGGAATTAAATAATGAGATGATTGTTGACAGTTATGTCAGTAGAGGAAGAAGAGCAAGATAGCTTGTCGCATTGTCTCAGGGGCTTTCTATAGCCCTACGGATTTCAAATCGCATCATGCTGCAGGAGAAACAGCAATTCAGATGCTTCATTTGCTCTTGATTAAAGATKTATAAACCAGGTATTACCACGATGAAATGCACACGAGTTCTGTACAAGCAAATAAGATAATTCATAGTAACACTAACTACTTTTTACTTAAATAATTTACTTCATGCCACAAGTGCATATCCACTCAACTGCAAGTAGACATATTGTAATTTTGAGATTGTGGAATGAATAGAGAATCTTTATGTGAAATGAAAAGTAATTATATAGTGTCAGTGCAAGAGCTTTTAAGGAATGAATGTGAAGAGATGTTTATTCTTTCTACTGAAGCAAATTTGGTTTCTTTCAAATCTTTGAAAGCCCCTGTGGCCTGAGCTAATCAGTGGTAGCTTCCTTTGCCAAACAGCACTTTTGTAAAATTGTGAGAAGAACCTTTTACCAGCATATTTGGAGATGTCACTATCGATTCATTATCTCCTCTGTACAGGTGACACAACTGGGGTCATTTTGCAAACCTGTAAAATGCTTTTCTTAAGTTTAGGCTATGGTAAATTTAAGTTTCAGAACTTCACTCACCCCTTTTAGCTTGCTGCATTTACTTGAAATAGCCTTATGAGATAAGTAATACATTTCAGTATGGGAAAATGGCAATCTAGTATTCCTTCAGCGTATTTCTGTATAGTACTAGCAGCATTAAGCCAGACCTTCAATACAAAATAATTTGCAGCATATATTTAATTGCTTTAAAGGCCTATTTTCTTCTCGTTTATTATATACACTGTGTAGTACGTGATTATATGAAATTTCTGTAACACTAACTAGAATACTAACATGATTATTATTAAAAGTCTGTTTGATGTGACTGTAGGGTTTGAGCAAGATGAAGCAAGGCAGGAAGGTTTTGTCTGATTTTATCCACAAAAGGTTTAGCTTCACAGCAATTGAAACTGGTTGCCAATGCCACAGTCTATTTCCAATGTGTACATTTTTGCCATTTTTCTCATATCAAGCCTGTTGCTCAACAGACCTGGAGGGGAATTATTGAAGGGAAGTAAGCTGGCAAAAGTTAATAAAAAATCAGTCCCCTGAGAAAAGGAATGAATTTTCTGTCATTTTAGCTCTCTTAGCCAGTTCTCTGCATGGTCACATACCACTGAAGAATAATTTAGGGTGGAAGAGACTCTTGGAAGTTAGATGGTCTAGCTTTTTATTTACAGCAGGGCTAATACAGCAGCATTAATGCTGATACAGGGCAAGGACCAGGAATATGTGACTGGTGAGAGAGGACGGTTGCAAGAGACTCGTGTTGGATTGGACTGAGCTGCTCTAGAGGTGCACCCTAAGGTGCAAGTTCCAGAAACATGGGTTGCTGTGGAAGGCATATTACTTTTTTTGATTCCTATTCCTATTTGATTCTTAAGATATTAGGAATTAGGCACTTTGGTATGTTTTGGCTCTGGTTTCTATCATTCAAATAAAAGTCAGGGGCTGTAAAGTTAGAATAAATGGAAAAAGTGTAACCYTTCCTATGTGAACTCAAAACATCAATGGTTCCAGTAAGGTGCAGTTAAATATTTTACTCTCAAAATAAAATTTCAGAGCCATCTGTTAAGTCGTTGCCATATTTTTGTTTACAGGACATACTGTTGATCATGTTCACTTCTAGCTCTTCCTGTTGCCTTGGATGAAATGACAGAATATGTCTGTGCTATCAGTTTGATTTGCTCCCTATTTCACTCCAAGGACCTTGACCATCTGTACTTGATGCATATTAGTTTACTTCTGTGCTCCAGTCTGGAACAAACTGAGCAAGCTGCTGAGACCCCGGGCGCGAAATAAAATCAAGTTCATCCCAAGATCAAAGTCTACAGCTTTACTATTTGGCTTGAAACTATCCCAGGTCAGCCCCTGGAACACACAGGAGAGCTCATTGAGACCTACTGCTCCAAAGTCCTTCCAAATCTTATCATATTGTTATGACTTTGTTACTACACTGGCTGAAACATGTCACAGCACGTTTTTATGTTGTTTGCCAGCTGTTGTTTTCTACCTGTGATTTTGTGTTAATTAACACTAAATTCTTCCTGACTTCTTCTAGATGTATATGACAAGCTTAATTCTGTCTTTCCTAATCTATATTATCTTGCACATAATATTATCGCTGTCAGAGTTCTGACATGTCAAATCATTAACTTGTGATAATCCCAAATTATGAAACTCTAAAATGTCAGTTTTTGTCCCATGCATAAAACATGGTAGCATGGTTGCATTCATTAGTAGCTAGTGCAGCATCCTAATACCTCAGTGTATGGTATTTCTTAACAAAACAGCAAAGCCATATATACTGTTCTATACTATAAAGTATATACTTTATTCTCAAATACTTACCTAAATTTTCCTTTAGTAGTCTTCTTATTCTTTTACTAGTTGCTCCACTTAAACAGGAAACTCATTTATGTTTTTTTCTTAAAATTAGGGTTCTTCTGTATGTGGCAGAATTTTGTCTGTCCCTCCATTCCTCCTGCTGTCGTGTACCTACAGCTCTTGGAGCCTGCTAGCAGTGTGGAAGGACAGAACACAGTCATTGATGATATTAATGACATATCAATCAAGCATCCTGCTTATTAAGGGCCGCTAATGCATACCAGATGCAAAAAGGAGGCTCACAGCATACTAATCAGTTTATTTCAAAATAAATAAGCACATAAGATGATCAGAGATTGTCCAAATCTGTATTGGTATCTCTAGCCTGATTCCAGCCTCGTGTCCATATGTTCCTCAGGATGTATATATCTATTGTTAGCCCATTCCTTTCTGAGAATATTTCCCCAGAGTTTTCTTTGTTGGAAGATTCTGAAAACAGTCAAAGGATATAAAGGATATAAAGCATTGACTGTAATTACAGTGTTGTTCATCTTCCAGGATCCTGAAAAAGCTGCTGCTGTTTGTACCTTAAAGTACATAAGGCTGTAATGAAAGTTGGAAGCCCACAGGAGCTACCTTTTACCCTGTAGGTATGATGTTACATAGCAGTTCATTGAATGCATTACATTCCTTCATCTCTAAGTATAGAAAAAAAGTGGATTAGGTTCACTGGAGGATTTATGTGGCATTCGCAAAAATATGAGCAGCTCCACTGCTGCTGTTTCATCCTCCTTCCATCAGGAGTGACAACACTTCTGTAGGATGTTAAAAAATAGAGGGTTCAAATCTTTCTGATTCRGAGGAGGGATATGAATGAAAAAGGTGACTTACATCCCAGGATAGTGCCTTAAGCCAAAGGCTTTCTGCAGTTTGCTTCTTTGGGCATCACCTCTCCCAGGTGAGTATCTGAGTAAACAGGTTGTGGAAATCTGCTCTCTGGCCCACTTATTCTCCATCATTAGAAAGGACATCCAATGAAATTGAATGGCAATCAGTTTAACAATGATAAAAATAGTATAACCTATATAATTAGCAAATATAACTCTCAGYCACAGGTTACAGTAGAGGCTCGAAAGCTTAGTAGGGTTCAAAACAGGATGAGAAATGCACATTTGTAATGAGTCGTCTACCATTAAATTAGATAGAATTAAAAGAAATTAGAGCAGATATAAATTCTTATGTTTCAGACAAGCGAGTGAGTCAGCTGCCGAGAGCCTAGGGCTAGGACGAAGCTTCCTGTATTAATCAGGTTATTCTATAATTACAACATTTCTTGCACCTACCTCTGAAGCGAGTACTGACTACTGCCAGAGACAGGATCCTGGACCAGACGGACAACAGGTCTGATTGGTATGGTGATTTTCAGATTTTCTCTTTTTCTTTCTTTCTCTCTCTCTTTCTTATTTATTTATTCATTTATTTTTCTTTTTTTAACCCTCCTCACTCAGTCTGTTCATGTCAATGGTATGGCAGTAGAGAAAGGGTGCTCCGGTATTTCTTCTGGGCTGCGTACAAGTCTGCTTTTGATTGCTAGTGGTTTGACCTGCTCAAGGACAGGCTTGTTTGGTGGGAGGAGGAGTGGGAATAGACAACAAAAGCAGCAAAGAGATGCACAGCCCCAAGTGAATGCTTAAAGGAGATCTGAATAATTAGAAATGAGAAGAAGGAGAACTGTTAAAGAGCAAACTGTTTGTGCCAGTGGTCTGCCTAGGGGCAATTCGGGCATATGCTGAAAAGTATTGTTAAATCAGTTGAACTTCTTGAGAAGATAATTTAACAATCGTCCTGCATTTACAGAAAGCATTGATTTATTCAAGCATATGACCAAATAATGTTAATATTCCCTGGGATATATCATTTTTATAATGGAGGGAATAACAACAAGGAGATGCTGATTTGTGGGGTTCTTCATTTTAACCAGAGCAAGGAAAAGTGGAGACTTCGCTAGGGTGTCACTGGAGCCTCACTGGCGCGCTGTACCTGAGCCAGTTTATGTGCACTACCTCGGGAACTAGCCACAACAGCATGGCTCATTTCATCAGTGCTGACTTGCCCCTTCCAAGTGGTCTGTGCCTGCGTGCACTAAGATCACTTGCTGAATGTGATAGCCGGGAGGGTAGTTCATGTTGAAAAGGTGAGAAGAGTTGAATGAAAAGGTGTGGATGAAGGTATGGCTATTCAGAAGAGGAGAAGCTTTTGTTCAGGAAGGTCTTAACTGATAGTGTGTATTGCCTTGATGTGTTTGTACCGCAGTGGAGAACAGGGAACCACGTTAGGCCTCTCTGGCAACACTGCAAGTGCTTTCACCCGGCATAAGTGGATGGGGATACTGTGAAATTCAGAGAAGTCTTTCATCCTGAAAAAGAGTTACTTATGTGTTTGAAGGTGAATTACAAAGTGGAGTAAAACTTCTGGAAGAGAACCCAGATAGAAGAAATTTCAGGATATCCTAACCCGGGGTCACAGTGTTTGAAGATTTGGAGGTGGGAAGATGAAATTCTGGTTGCTCTTTGAGTTGCCATGCTTCAGACTACAGCTTTCATGCAGCATGACCTCATCTGGGCATTGTGGCAAGAGTGTGCATCTGCAGGAGTATTATGTTGATATTCCTGGGAGCGTAGAACAAATTAAATAATTAACGTAAACCATTCGTATAAGAATACCAGGCCCTGTTTGAGTCTGCTTTTCCTGCACCTCCTTTATAAACAGAGTAAAGTCCTCACACAATTTAAATTATAGAAGCATCAACTTCTGGGTCTGCAGTTTAAATTATAGAAGCATCAACTTTTGGGTCTGCAGAGCAAGTCGTTGAAAGAAGCAGTATTTTCTAAGAAACTGTTAAGTCTAACCTGACTATGTGCTAATTTTCCTGCTGACATAAACATGGAAACTTTAGGAAGAGGAATGAAGTTGATTGTCTGTAAAGATAAGAGCTCTTTTCTGATTTTAGAGCCAATAGACTTTTTCCATTTTCAGTTAAGACAGAAACTTCAAAACTTTCTGGTACTCGTGTCACTGCCAGACCTCAAAAGTGTATTATAAGGGTCATATTGGCGTTGTGATAACAAACTGGCAATTTAAAACACTATAAAGATAGCATGATACTGCAGTCTGTATGTTGCAGCCTTAACAATCCCCAAGCTTGAAAAAGATAAATAATATAAAGCTTTCCAGAGCTCTTAGCGGTGGAACTGGGACCAGTTACAGCAAAGGCTGGGTGATATTTCCCTGCAGGCCTTCAGTTAAGGCATTACAAACTTTGAAGAAAATCTACTGGTGCTGTGTTATAAAAAGGGATGAGAATTATCAAACTGTATTGCTTTTGTTTTAAGTGGTACGGTTGAAGTAAACCAGTTCTTCAAAACACATAAGTAGAATTTAAAGTAAGTTGTCTAATACAGTGTAACATGCCAGGAAATATCATATTGATGATGTCTTTCCAACAGTCATTAATCTACTTCTAAGGAACTGCATGCTGAGATATATAAATGCTGACTTGGAAGAAATTGTATTTTTCCATTTTTTCCTTTGGTTTCATTTCTGTCATTTTATTATATTTACAGTTTTCTGTAGAGAAAATCATGTCTAATAAAGTAATCCTACTGTAAAGGGCACTTATCTGGATTGTTATTGTAGAACAGTAAGGTAGTTTGTTTTAATATGACAAGTTGATATGGCCAACAAAAGCTTACTGAATTTTAATTCTTTTTTAGGTTTTAATTACAAAATAAACAATAAAATACTGCTGATTATTCTCAAAATGCTGAATTTCCACATACAGTGGTAAAAATCTTTGTAATATGTATACCTCATGTCATATACGTATAAGATTAAGAGGAAGAAATAGTTTAGCTGCACTCAAATTAATCTAGTCACTAACAACGCTATGACTCACTGCAATCTACTTAGAGTCATTTTTCCAGAGTTCACTAGTATCCTGTACGGTTTTATAGGAAAACTTCAATTTTAAATAAACCAATCAAACTGTGTGGCTCTTCAATTAAATATAACCATAGCAACAGGGATTAAGCACACATTAAGGTAAAGACCTGCTGACAGTGCAGAGATTATTTCAAGTTTCTTACTCCTCCAGCAGTCGTCAAATGAATTTACATTTTCTATATCAAACATGGGGAGGCATAAAAATGAAAGAGATTGAAGCGCTTCTGTGGCATCTAGGGACTTCAGAGAATATTTTCCTGACAGGGGAAGTAATTAGCTGGAATTACAAATAGGAACTCAGCAGACAGATATGAGTAAGTGTTTGCTCATGGGATTTATTTTGAGTTCCATAATTAAAACTTGGAGATGCATATTATTTATGGTACAAATAGCAAGAACAATCTTGGCCATAATTTAAGAAATCCAACAGAAGAGTAGAGCCATTTCTCTCTTAATTTGTAAATTAACTTTCTAATGATGTTAGGTATAATGAGGAGTCATGGTTCTTCACAGCTCTTCTGTGAGGCAATGATTATAATGTATATATATATATATACATAACATATAAAGTTACAGTGCAAATAGATATACTGATACTTAGTGGAGATGCACTGATCAGTCTCTTCTAATGTATTTCTGCTTGTCCTCTATTTTTTCTTAGCTTTTTATGTGTATTTATGTAAAAGATGGTGTGGGCAAATCTGCTGGTGTTTGGAATTTTTAGCTTTGCCTGTGTATGAGTGTGTTTTCCCCCTCCATGTTAGCTTTAGATTAGGTTATAGGACTATTCCAGTAATTTTGGAACGGTCTTGTAACACTGCATAAAGCTGAGTATTCTGTCTTAACTAGAAGTATTAATCACTACTGTGGTTTATCAGAAACTGTTTGGTGTGATGTGGGATGGTTTATTTGTGGGATCTCTGTCCAAGAAATGCCTGCCAATGCTCTTGAGCAATGCTTCCTTTGAAGCCATCTTCGAAGTATTCTTCTCCACCACATGGGGCCTTCCTCTGTCACGCTTTGTCATCTGCTGTGATGCTGGGGTGCCACTGAACGGCCCTTAATGCCCAAAAGTCCTGCAGCTCTTCATCATGTAGGAGGCAGGTGTACCCTCTGTAATGCCTCTGCTTTATAAACGTTTGGTCACTGTTTCCACCTCTTCAGACATCGTTGAGAGCCAGCTGTGTGCTTCTTGTCGGTACATGTTTGCCCAAGGTTAGTATTGGGATCATGCTGTTCTTATTCTTCATGTTGGGATGGGTTGTCCATGGCAGACCTACTGTGTTTGGAGACCTATGGGGAGATGGGCTCACAACCATGTCTTTTCTGTGGGAATCAGAAATTGCCAAACATGCCAGAATGCATTTAAAATGTCCTGTTTTGATCGTGAAAGGCTATACACTCTTTAAAGTGTTTGACTCCCTGCTCATTTCAAGCATAGTTCAGCTTCCTCATTAATATAAAACCTGCATGTGGTATGTATCATTAGTACCACAGAACTTTCTTTTTGCTACCGACTGTTCACCTTGAGCTAGATTGGTTAGGCTTAGGTCTTTGTGTGTAAACAAACAGTTGTTTCATCTGTGCTTTTATGAAAACACTTGCTTCAGTTTTAGTAGCTGTCTGATAGTCCAAATGTGTTCCCTTTAAGTTGAAGTATCTTCCCTTGGCTGTTGAGGTGCAATTTGTTTTACTCATCTCATTTTGAAGAGCCTTTGTTGAAGATTCATGATAAATAGTGCATTGATAGCTAACGTCCTTGCATCAGATGAGTTTCTGAAGGGAGAGATTAGTACTGAATGCTGAATATTTGGTAGGAATCAGTGTGGATTGTATGTATTTAAAGTTGCATTCTATCTTCATACMAAAATGCAGAGGTCCTGTAAAAGTTGGCTCCTAGTTTAAATATCCAGCAAATGTAGAAGGAAGAAGTAATAAAATATTTATGAAATACAAGATAAAATCAGTAGGACAAGGGTACACGGGGAAGTCTCTTAACAGCTCATGTTATACCAGAGACCATTTCTTAAGACTTTTTTATTAAGTGTAATTGCCCTAGGCTGGTCAGATGGAGAACATAATTTTATATGTCATCTAAAGAGAGATATTTACTGATTTTCTTCTTGTTTAAAATCCTTTTTATTTCAGTATTTCTTTTTGCTGCTTTTTTTATTGTTCTTTTTTAATCCAGTTAGTGCCTTGAGCTGGACAGCAGAGACTTGGATAAAGGCCATCCTGATAAAAGACATTTTGTTTTGGTCCATCAGGGGCTGATTCTGGCAGCTCATAGTAATGACATTTAAAGGATTTTGTTATGTGATTCTTACTGCCAGCATCCTATAAAAATATATATGCCACCATTTTAACAGTATATGGGGAAAAGATGAGCTAATGGCTTATCTTTGAAAAGGAAGTAATACAAAAGCTTAACATAGCTTTTCTGCACTGAAAAATCAAAACTTTCCACTTAGGACTTTTTTTTATTTGAAATATAGGTGTACATAAATGGGAATTTCCAAGCCTTCAGATGTGGGGGAGGAGGATTTTGAGTAGGCCCTAGAAAGACTTAGCA